TGAAAGCAGACATGTTGCTGACTATGGAGCTAAGCAATGCTACCACTTCTTCTCATTACAGAGTTCCATAGCCATCCCTTCGATGATTGGACAAAGATTGGGAAGGCTAGGTGGTACACTTGGAATATTGCAACATATGAGGGAGTTAAATTACATGTAATTTGTGTGTATTAATTTCCAAAGTTGGTTCATTTGCCTTTTGAAATAGGTATCTGTCTGAATACATTAACTTTCTTGGGTAGGAAATGCAACTTCATTTCATTTGTGTTGATTTGTGGGTTAACCCGATGATCCACCAGCATCATCCGTCATCCGCCCAATCCAACCCAATATTAAGTGTGAATGGGTGCCCGGTGGAAAATTTTCAATCCGTTGATGTGTGGGTGGATTAATTTTAGAATCAAAACTCACTCAATTCGCCCGTTGCCCACCCCTATGTGACTTGGCTCTCGAACGTCGTCTTTGTGCCAAAATCATCGGGGGATTGGAGGATGTGCGTGGATTATATGAGCGTTAACAGAGCATGCCTGACATATGTGTATGCGAGCCCCTGCATTGATCTATTGGTAGATGCCACAACTTATCACGAGATGATCAGCTTTGTCGGCATGTTTTTAGGGTATCATAAAATTTTGATGGCAAAGGAGGACCGATCAAAGACGACTTTCTTGACGCCCTTCGGGAATTATGCTACCGGGTCATGGCGTTCAGGTTGAAGAATACGGGAACCACATACCAACGCATGGTTAACAACGTTTTCCGTAACCAAATAGGGTGAAACATGGAGGCTTACGTAGATGACCTTATCGTGAAAAGTCGATGGCGGAGAGATCACTTGGACGATTTGAGAGAGACGTTTGAAACCATGAAGGGTCCATAGGCTTCATGATCACAAAGAGAGGTATCGAGGCCAATCACAAAGAGAGGCAACGCTGCGAAATATGCAACGATCATCGTCGTACTCCACATGGCGCAGGAGTTGGGCACGTAGAAGGTGCAGGTCAAATCCGACTCAGTCCTAGTAGTCAATCAATTGAGTGGAGTTTTTGAGGTCAAGGAGGAGGCGCTCAAGACCTATGTGCAAGCGGTAAAGAGAAAAGGCGCCTGGTTTAGGGAGGTGGCTTTCACACATGTCATGCGGGAGAAGAACGCCCCCGTCGATGCATTGTCAAAGTTAGCCACCTCCTTGGACTTTGCTGAGGAAAGGAAGGTCATTGTCACAAGAGAGATGTCGCAAGAGCACCTGATCGTGGCGTTGAGCGGTACAGGTGGAGATGATGGTTGGATGGCGCTGATATAATTGTTCTTAAACCAAGACACTGTACCGGACGATCCCAAGGAAGCATGGCGCCTCCCCCGGAAAGCGGCCCGATGCTCATCATCGAAGGCCAATTATACAAGAGATCTCACTCGGCGTGGTGCTCTAGTCAGTAACATAACTTTTTCCTGCATTTTATTTAACGACCCAAATCTATTTTGTCTTAAGTCGAAATATTTGTTTGCACGGGAAAAATCAAATTAATTGAGTTCTGACATCAACTTTTATATATCTCTGAACAAAAAATTTGAGATATATATTACCGCCTTATACCATGGTGGTAATGTTTGGTAGCATATAAGATTATACCATGGTGATATGGAAGTGTATCAGGATATTATAGAAGAATGTGTAAAGGGTAATATATTTTTTCCTGAATTTTTTAAGAAAGTTAGTAGATCACAACATATTACGATGAACTCGTTCCTTCGGTGTTATACTTTTCAAAATTTGAGTTAAAAATGAAGATGATACAGAGTGATACCCGGTGGGATCGGGGTGGTAAAGAGTGGTGTGACTGTATGAGTTGTACAAATTTTTCTCACCAAATATATTGAAAATTGATATCATTGTATCAGAATGAACTCGTTCCATTAGAAAAAAAAACTTTTAAAATTCGAGTTAAAACAATGAAAATACAATCCGATTAATTTTTTTGGAAAAATTAAAAAATTTTAGTGTCCTCCTTTAAATCAAACAAATCAAGTGACCAAATTTAAGTAAACACTTGGACCGTGTTTCACCTTTCATTGTTGTTTTCCCCACGTTTCTCTGCATAATAACTACACATATAAAATAAACTTTAGCTACATGATTAGGGCCTGAATTTTGAACCGTGTATTCATTGAACTGTTCTTTCTTCTAGTGATTGGCGATAACTAATAATCCAAAGTGGGGATCAAGAATCTAGCTAAATTTTTTTCTCTCTTTTCTAACGTTCTTATGCAGTAGCATTCGTCTTACACTCCTCACTTAGATTTTCATTTTTCTTATTTATAATTATAATACATCTTTCTTCGTATTGTAGTTTTATTCATGGTTTAAGAAATTTTATTATATCAGTCGGTCTGACCGAAAAATATGGTATATCGATCCCTAATTATATTATCACTAATTTTTTCAGTATAACTTCCTATACCGTTTCACAAACATTGCTTTTATTACATATTGCATAATTCTCATTTATACCAACTACTTCTTCCCACGCCCACCCCCACCCCCACCCCCTAACTTTGTTTCTTGTTGCGGTTATTCCAATGAGGAAAACCAAATTAAAATATATAAAAAATGAAGTTGACAAAATTTATGTGGGAGTCATAGTGTAATTACTGAGCTGTAGCACGTTGACAAATGCATAATTCTTGCTTCAAGACTCGATTAGTGAGAGAATTGAGACCGAAAGCAAAATCAGTTATGTAGTGATCAACCGAAAAACTTGCAGTGTTATCATAGTAGAAACTAGAAAGGACCGAGAACGAATCAGATCAGTAACCTTAAAGTGAGTAATTATGAGTAACCCGTTTACGTCAACATGACATCATGACATCAGCATATTTCTCTCTTTTGGAAAATTTTTAATTTTCCCCTCATTAATCTTTGACGGACGACTTCTCACTCGTTTTAAGTCAAAATTTAATTTTTTTTTTACACTATTAGATCAGATTAATTGTGCTCTTTAAAATGATATTCACTTTGATATATTTTTCGAACAAAAAAAATTGAGCCATTTTTTACCAGTCTATACCATATGGTATTGACTGGTATTAAAATAAGAGCATACATATGGTTTGAAAAGCGTACCATAGTGGTATGAACAAACAAAGACTGTAGGATGGTTGAATAGATGATAGTAGAAGTATATTAACTATCATTTACGACTTTTAACTAGGGATGAACAAATACACCCGCAAACCGACCCACCCGTCCAACCCGACCCAACTCACCCGTATTTATCGCTAAAACAGTTTTGGGTTGGGTGAAGGTTTTCTTTTGTACAACCCGCCTCTTTTGGGTTGGGTTTGGATTTTGGACTACACAACCCGTAGAACCCGACCCAACCCGTGTTCCAACTATAAGTATGAGTTCGGATCTAAAAAATATTTATGTCGTATATAGTCATATACTTATGAGAAAATTAAGATATTTCGCCATGTTTTTCTCTCATGATCTCCCTAATCTAATGCATTCTTCGACTTAAAGTTTAGACATAAATTGAATATAGTTATGATTCACGTAATCCTTTTTCTTGTGTACAATTTTAATAGAATAACATATGATGGCTGCGTTTGTTTATAACATTTTTAGCCTATTTCAACAAATATCGTGAAAAAAAAACAAGACATATGTTGAAGTAAATCACATTTTATTAAAATTTAAATAACATTTGTGAATTTTGATACCTTTCACCTTGGTTCATTCGTTTGAAATTTTAATTAGTTATAAAATATTTTTATGATGTAGAATAATTATATATTTTATGTTGAGTTGGGTTTTTACTTTAAAATATCGCCAACCCAACCCAATTAGAAACAAACCGTAGGGTTTAAATTTTTTTGGGTGGGTTTGGGTTTGATATTTCCCAAACCGTAGTGTATGAGTGGGGTGATTAAAATGACTAAACCCGAACCACCCAACCCATGTACACCCCTACTTTTAACCTTGTGTACCATAAGATACCACCTCGTACCAGGGTGGTATTGTATGGTATTGTGTGGTATTTTTTGGTCCTGTAATTTGTTCACCCAGAAATTTGTAGATCCAATTATTCATGATGAACTCGTTCCTTATGTGCAAACGTTTTCAAAAACGAATTAAAAATGAAGAAAATACCATATGGTATGCAGTTGGTACCGAGAGGCAAGAACAATTTTTGTCTAAAAAAATATTGAAAATGAATCTCATTTTGTAGAGCACAACGAACTCGTTCCATCTGTGCAAAAAAAAATTAAAATCCGAGTTAAAAACGACGAAGATATGAGCCGATTAAAAAAACTAAGGACGATAAAAATGACATTTAATTCTCCATCATTATATCTGGATTTTCTAAATGAAAGGTCCAGATTTAGTTATTGATGAGTGCATAACCCATAGTTATGCACCCTATCTTGAGCCCGAAATGACCTGCTAGCTGCAGCTTAGTTGAAAAGTGCTGGATTTTGGTGCGTCTGCTTGAACGAGTGCAATGGCATTCAATATTAATATGTTTAGTTCTTTCATGTCTAATTGAATTTTTTGTCATTCTTACAGCAAATAGACTAACTATCATAGTAGATGGTATAAGGCCTGGGATGTTGAACTGGAAGTTCTTTAGATAGGAAATGCAACTATTGTAGTTCTGCAGAAGTATCAGCCAAAGCTCTATATTCTACTCCAGCAAAAGACGTTGAAACAGTTTGTTGCTTCTTGGAAAGTTAGCTAATGATTGATTTTCTTGTGTCTGGAGATCCAACCTAATCAGAATTTGAGAATGATGTGAGTTTTATTGAAATTGCTGGGAAAGAACAACCATATAGCAGGAGGAGTCTTAATGTATGCAAGGTGAGGGGGGAAATTGTAGGCGTGTATATTGGTGGGGCTGTAAATGGAAGAGGAAATTGTTATTTGGAATGAAAAGATAGGGTATGCAAATATAGTTAATTGTACGTAAATTATATTTTTATTAAAATTTTAAAAAATGTACAGACTAAAATAAGATATTTTATTTAATAATCTTAAATATTAATAAATACACTTTAATAAAAAAATAATTATTAAAAGGTCATGATCAAATAGTAATTAATTATTTCAATTATAGTAATCAATAGTCGAGCAACCTCAAGCTCGTAGCTTAACTCGTTACTGGTCATCCTGCAGGGTTCTCCTACCTAGTTTAACTATAAAATGGATGTGGTCAAATTTAGTCAAACATGTTCGAATTTGTAAGTTTTAACTATTTAGTCAAGTATACTAAGTCAACCAATTCATTTCTCTCTTCATTTTCCTCAAACACTTCTTCTCTCTAATTTTCAAAGCAAATTCGAGGGAGACAAGAGATTTCGATTTGACTAGACAAACCTTGACAAACTTGCTGCAGAAGTCAAACGAACACCCATGATCGTGTACATTGATAATAATCATAAGAAAAAATGGATAATATTAATTATTATATAATTATAAAACAACAAAAATATAAAGCTTAGAATCTCTATCATCTCCTTCCTTTTCCTTTCTTCCTATGCAACCCAATTTAGGGGTAATCCAAAATAGTAAATTTGCAAAGCTATTTTTTACACCGTTGGTAAGTGTATTCTTAAATAGGATTAGGCATGTGGGTGGTTAATCCCCAATTTGACATTAATCCACCCGTAAATAATCCGAACCGTAGTGTGTGGGTGATTTGCGAGTTACCCGAATGACTCGCACCATATTTTATACGACAAAATGTTGTTTTTAGTGCCCATCGACTTCCAAAGGTGGAGAATTAATAATATTTTTCGACTACTATTATTTGTTACTATATTGTGTAATGTTCATTAGATATTGTGATGCAAATTATAAAATATTAATTGTATGAGTCACAGTGCATCAAATTTTTCTACGCAATTGGTTGATATAGTAAGGAAAAATATAATACAAATACTATTATAAATGTTAGTCAACTTTCTTAATGACTGACTAGATGGAGAATTGTTTTTCGGGTTGGTTGATATAGTAAGGAAAAATATAATACAAATACTATTATAAATGTTAGTCAACTTTCTTAATAACTGACTAGATGGAGAATTGTTTTTCGGGTTGACTCGCAACTAAATGCAGCCATCCGCCAGTCGCCACCTACCCAACCCAATGAAAAATATATGATACAAATCATAATTATATCAACCCGCTAGTTAGTGACTAGTGAATGGGTCAATTTGAACCAAAACCTACCCAATGCCCACCCTATTAATTTCCATCGTTGCCTTGAAGAAATGTAGTTTCACACTTTCGCGGTCTCCAGCTATCAAGTAAGCCAATATCTCCCATCGTAACATTTACAGGACCAGAACGGGAAATATAAAAAAATATAAGAGATGGAAGTGATGACAAACCAATGGTAGTTTACGAGAAGTTCATCCCAAAATTCCGCAGACCAACCCAATTCAGATGAGCACAACATCAAAATGGAAAAAGCATTGCATCCTACCCAAAAACATTCAGCATCCTAACATGACCGGGCAAAGAACAAAACGAGTTCGGAAACAACTCAACCACGGAACAGAAAAGACCTAACAAGTTGGGAAATATCCAAGGAGAACGAAAACTCACTAAAAACAACGCAATCACCAAAAATGTGTCTTCACGGTGGTGCAAAACCCCTTGCACTCTTTTATTCTTCCATCCACATAAAGCCCCCGTGACTAATCTAGGGCACAATACCATCATTCAGCGACAGCGAAGAGAGCTGATCGGCTGCGTTGTTTGCCTGTGGATGAGCAGCAGCAGATACGTTCCGGAGCACTTCCATTGCCTCTGCTACTTTAGCCTTCAGGGCGTCCGGTGACTCGAGCAAATGCAAGACCTCAGTCTGATCCATCTCCAGGAGCATCCCGGTAACCTTGGCTGCCGAGTCATGCTCCAGCTGCTCCACCAGTGGGTACAGGCTTTCACCCAACAGCTGCACAATGCGAAAAGATTTCAATCTAAGGAATAAATGGCAATAAAGATGGTAACAAAGAACAAAGCACAACTAAAAAAAAACAGCATACAGTTCGCTGTTGTTCAGGAGTTGAATTGGCAAGGGCTGATGCAAGAGCCGTGATGGGCATAGGCTGCCCCCCAGCTGCAGCCTCACGTATTCCCATGCCACCCATGTCATAGGGGACAGAGAGCATGCCTCCACCTTGCATGGGAAGTTCAGACATGTTGCGACCGGGAGGGTAACGGTAGCCACGTCCACCCCTAGGCATCATCTGCAATTTCAGCCAGTATACTGTTTAATATTGTATTTTATAACAAGAAAAGGTGTAGATTAATCAAATCCATTGATTCATTCATTCATTCATCAAGACCTGCTGGGGCATCATGGGAACTGGTTGTTGTGATTGCTGTACCGGACCTCCACGACGACCACCAGGGCGTTGGCCTTGTTGACCCTGGACAACAGGTACGAAGTAGTTTGGCATGGGACCACCACCAGGCCTCATCCCTGGCACAAGTTGCTGATGGTAGCCAAACCCACCCTACAATACTCACCAAAGTAGTAAGAAAAAACAATCCAGTCTTTATAATGTAGTATATCAACAGCGACAGTGGAAATCAGGGAAGGTACCTGAGTAGGAATCATGGCCGGAGGACCTTGGCCATAAAGAAACTGCTGCCCAAGCCCAGGTGCACCAGGGGGAAACATTGGCATACGAGGGCCAACTGCAGGAGGCATAGGAACTGGCCTCATTTGTGAAAACTGAGCCTGCAAAACGACAATAGTCAACCAACGTAAGCCACACCCCGGGCAAATACACTCCCAAAATTCCTAACGAGTATAAAATAGTAAATCATAAAAATGACTTTAAGAGGTTTATAATGACAGTTGATTATATTGGATTTGCATACACAAATCAAACATGAGCAAATGGAAAATCCAACAACATCAATAATATATGAACAATAAGTCTCTCCATGTGTTTAAAATATTTTCAATGAAGTGCACCATCCATGAGAATGATACACAATTACTGAACCTGAAGCCTTGCTCGACGCTCCTCCTTGCGTTGAGCATGCGCAACGTAGAGAGGCTTGCTAACAATCATCTTTCCATTCATCTCATTAATCTGAGAAGAAAACAGAATTGGCACTCAATTATTGTTACAAACTGGCAAGTAGTTTAATCATATGGATACTGGGACCAATAAACCCTTTAACTTACAGCTCGAGATGCCTCTTCAGGTGTAGCGAATGCAACAAATCCCGAACCTTTGCTAACTCCACTTGGATCACGCACAACCTTTAAATTCACCCCAAAAAAAGAAACAGTCAAAGTTGAGCAAAATTTTGAAAGAAGAAAAGGATGCAGCAGCCAAAAAAGTGCACATATCATACCTTGCATGATGTTACTGTACCAAATTCAGAGAACATCTCCTTGAGCATTTCATCAGATATGGTGTCATCCAAGTTCTTAATGTAGAGATTAAGGCCTTGGTACTTATCAACAGCTTCCTTCATACTTTGCTCAAATCGTCCTTTCAGTTCTTGCTCTCTTTCAGATTTCTTCTGAGCCTTTGCGACAAACCATTCTTTGTCATCAAATTTTTTCCCGTTAAGAGCCTCAACAGCTTTAGCTGCATCATCTGCATTTTCAAAATTAACAAAGCCAAAACACCTAGACTTCCCATCTCCATCCCTCATCACCACAGCACTAGTAATTGAACCATACTCTCCGAAAACATTCTTCAAGTCCTCATCCGCTATTGATTCGGAAAGATTTTTCACAAATACATTATTGAATCTTGTATTACTTGTAGAACTATCTCTCTCCTGCTTACGGAGAAAGGGCCCAACATAAACTTGCTTATCATTAATCAGCATGCCATTCAACTTGTCAATAGCATTCTTAGCAGCTTCCTCGGTATCAAATTGAACAAAACCATAACCTTTGGACTGTCCAGAAGCATCAGTAGCCACTTTGCAAGACAGAATGTTGCCGAAGGCAGAGAAAGTGTCATGCAAAGCTTTGTGATCAATTGCCTTGTCAAGGTTCTGCAGTGCACAAAATGACATCACCAAAAGTAGAGAGAAAGTAATATAGTTGTATATACAATGAAAAAAATCAACAGCATATTAGGGACCTGGGAAACAAAAATGGATACTAAAATTTACTACTGACTTAATGACCCAGGAGCATCACAGAAAGAATATAATACTGAATCGAGGTTTACGGTTCAAGGAAGAAGTCCAAGATACCATAAAACAAAGTAGTAACAAAATTAAAAATTATGGATAGCAACATTATAGGCTGAAACCAAGAGCAAGTACCTTGATGTAGATATTTCCTGCACCACTCTTACGAAGACTAGGATCCCTATGTGAATACATGATCCTGATAGGACTGTTGTTGAGTGGAGTGAAGTTCAACAATTCCAATGCCCTTGCAGCTGTTGGGCAGGGGGGAAGGGTGGAAAAGCGTAAGTAATCGGCTTATAGTATATTCTACCAAAAAAGAATCACAATGAACATAAGAATGTGAGAAAAGTAAGAGTGGCCACACAAGAGCAAGTAAAACTACAAGTGAAACTAACAAGGCATCATGTGAACAGGGTCGGTTGAGGTTAATCATGAAGAGAGCATACAGTAAGCACCCTACAAAAACATATTAAACTTCGTACTTGGGGCAAGTATACACTCCACAAAGAGACCATTCAATCTACATATAGATAAGCTTTATTAGGATTTGAAGATGCAAAATGCAACTGAATGATGAGTTTAGAATCATCCTATGAACAATGAATCCAGCAATAACGACTGAGACTTGGGTCCAATCCAAATATAAACCGACTTTACCCAAAGCATAATTGTATATACAGGCAACTATGCCATGTTCAAAAGCAATCCATTCAGCATATAGCCTAATTCTCGTTTCAACACAAGAAGAACAAGCTCCATCGTACGCAATGTGCCCTATGGTGGTCATCAATTTAGCAATTACATTCAAGAGCTCGCACACCGGTAAAAAAGTATTAAACAATAAAGCATAAACATGCACACCCAAAACCACAGAGCATTCCATAAGGCAAACCCTAAACTACAAAAAGGTAAGCGATTACGAAATTACTGACCTTCCTGTCCATTGGTGAAGTTAATGTAAGCATAGCCGAGAGATCGCCGGGTAGTCTGGTCCCTGCAGACCCGAATGGACACCAGCTGGCCGACTTGGCCAAACAGATCGGCAAGCTGCGCCTCGGACACGTTGAGATCAAGATCTCCGACATAGAGCGAAGTGGAACCTAAAGGGATTGGTCCAGTCGCCACCCCACCAGCCATTCCATTCTGAGTGGGCATCGACTGAGGAGGCGGAGGAGCCGCAGCTCCCGTCGCCGCCGCCTGCTGTCGCTGCACCTGAATCTGCGCCATCTCAGAACCTTTGAGCCCTTCTGCAAATCCCACTCCTTTTTTCTTCTTCTACCTTTCCTAGAACCAAATTTTTTTTATTTTTTTTTTCTCCGTTCCCCACTCTCCTCGTAACGATTATATAAGAATCGGAAACCTCGAGAGAGACGATAAAAACACAGTGGCTTTCACGGCGCCACTCTATCTCCCGAATGTGATCCTAAAACGAAAACCGGACTAGTAATAGAGGGCAAAATTTAGGGATAATAAAAGAGGAGAGGGGGCGGGGGATAGGATATAGGAGGGATAGAATCGTCGGCGACCGGAGACGGACACTACCGGACGGCTAGACGACGGAGAGGAAAAGGAGAATTTTTTTTGGTGTTTTTTTAAGGGTGGGAGGGCAGAAGCTCGAACTGCACCGCGCCGGCGGTGGAGTAACTGTGGAGCTTATATACTCTGGGAGCCACAAACCCTAGTTTCCTACTCTGTGGTTGTTGTCAGGAGCCGTAGGATGTAATTGCTGGACGGTCGCGATGAGAAACGTTGATGAGGAAGAACCGGGTGCGCGTGGTGGTGAGAGCAGAGTAACATTACACCGGGAATTTTACATCAAAGTTATCGAAAATTTCCCAAAGAGGGAGAAAGATAAGGGAAACAGCCACTCCCTTGTCGGGATCGGTCGTTTTGTCAGTAGTCGTCAAAGCCCAATCGTATAGAATGGGCCTATTTGAGGACCATGTTTGGAGCACCTAGAGAAGCCAATGAGAATATTCTTTCGTTGCGGACTGTTTAGTAAATTATTAATTAATTGGAGCATAATAAACATGAGTACTAATGTACTATAAGTATGCATTCCAAATATTTTTGGCAAAAAAAAAAAAAAATGCATTCCAAATATAGCAATAAATATAAATTAAGACGTTAGAATGACAAGTCTTAGGTTTGTAGTCAGTTAGTTGTACATGTTAACAAAGACTTATGTAAGGAGTTAAGACCATCTCCAATCTTAGGAGTAGAAAACCAAATAACCTGCGTGTCTGCCCCAGCTCACAACAGGTATGGCGGTTGTTGGGGGTTAATGACTCTCTTCTTACCTGCGACCTTGGTTTTACAGCTTGGCTAGAGTCACACATTGGGAGTGACCAGGAAGGGCTTCTCTTTGGAGTGGCGTGCTGATACCTCTGAAAGAGACGGCACGAGAAGACTTTCCACAATTTGACTCAGGAAGATCACATCCTGGCGCATCGGATCAGTTGTTGGACCAATACTATCCGCAATGCGCAACTGAGTGACAGGGCATCCCACGATCAGACTCAGACGAAGACTTCGCAACAGCTTGCGTGGAAACCACCCCCGGCAGAGTGGATGAGCATCAACACCGACGGGTCGGTCAAGCAACCGGGCTCGCTTGCTGCAGCAGGAGGTTTGATCCGAGACTGGACAGGACGTTGCGTGGACGCCTTCGTGGAGAATCTCGGCGTATGCACGATCACCAGAGCCGAGATCAAAGCGGCGATTCGTGGCCTGCAGGTGGCGTGGAGGAAAGGCTATCGCAAGGTTCACCTTCAATTGGACTCTACCACTGCTGTCAATATCCTCTCCTCCCAAAATCAGACAGATCACAGGTATTTCAACATGGCCCAACAATTCAAGGAGCTAGTTCAACAAAACTGGGAAGTTAAAAATTTCCCATACTTACAGAGAATGCAACAAGGCCGTGGACTTCTTAGCCAATAGGGGTCACGGTGTTAGCATAGGTTTCCATGACTTCAAGATCGATGATCCAGGTTTGTCATTTTGGACTTTGTATGATTCCTTGAGCATTGCTCAATCTCGTTTAATTTAAGTAGCAGGCAGGGGCGCCCTTTTAGCGTCCCATTTTTCGACAAAAAAAAAATCAAATAACCAAAAATTAGCACTCCACTGGTAAGACCAAAGGGCTAGAAAACCAAAAAACCAAAATTTAGGATCAAATTTGGACCACAAAACGCTAAGGACCAAAATTGGGGACCGGGTTTTGCACTGAAGAGATGCGTCGCACGCGCGGCGAGAGAAGGGGTGCGACCCTTACCACGTGTTTGGCGCACCGCCGCCTTGTGCGACTAGTCGTCGGATGGAGCAATTTCAAATTAAAAAAATAAAGAAATTCTTACCCTTCAGTCCATGACTTCAGCCCAACGACTCTTTAGACTCCAACATCAATTTTTTTTTACTCAAAGTTCTCTATAAATAGACATTAATTCTACACTTATAGTCACATGAACCTCCTCAATTTTCTCTCCTTCTCATCATAAACACATTTCTCTTCTTCTCATCAAACAAAATAACTACTCTTTTTCACAAACTCTTGTTTTTCAACTGAAAGCAAAATGACCCCAACAGACTTGTAAGTTGTGAACCTCTATTCTCGACTAAGTTTTGTGCTTTCAGTTTGGTCTTTCTCGAGTAGGGTTTAGTACGTTCATCATATAGTTCGTTAGGGTTTCCCTCTTTTGTTCACAATTAGTGGCAGATTCAGAATCAATGAACAGGTGTGTCGGTCTATAAAATAAGATTTTAAAAGAATTTAAATAAAAATAAGGCAAAATATACTTGCATAGCCATAATTTTGCACCTTTGGACAATAATAGCTAAATTTTGAAAAATACTCAAATATAGCCAAATTTTGAAAATATATTTGACAAATTTAGCCATTTATGTTAAATACTTTAACACCGTTAGTTATTCCGTCAGTAACTTTAACGTGAAGCTGATGTGGATGTCAACTCATCGCACACATCAATCCAACTAGACATGCCATGCCACGTGGATGTCTTGTCATATTTTAATAATATTATACATATATTTTTGTGGCCTCTCGTATTCTTCTTTCTCTCTAAAAATTCCCCCCCAAAAAACCAAATCCTCCCACCACCGAGACTCAATTCTCTGGCTGCAAACACAAATCTTAAATGGGAGTAGAGAGGGAGTCCGTAAGTGATCAGGAGGGGGGGGGGGGGGGGGGGGGGGGGGGGGGGGGGGTGACTTGTATCGGCTCTTGGTTAATTCAACATAGGAAATATAGAATGTAGGGCTGGTAAATGGTCGGTAACCGGTTAAACCAGATACCGTTTACCCGGGTACCGGTATACCGCATATCATCACACACCCGCCGATTGTCGATACCGTGTAAGAGTCGGGTATACCGAGTACCGAGTGTGACGATTATCGGTTATATCCTGGTTTCCGATTTACCGCTAAATGGGAGAGGAAGGGGGAAATTGTTGATGCCTAGAATGGTTATCTTTCTAGTCCATTATCGACATGTCTTGGCGAAGGATTATAGGAGGAGGAGAAGGGATGATTGCGGACCTTGTAGAGTGTAAATGATGATATGTGTAGTGACTCATGAATGATGAATCAAATTGATTTTCTGGACAATAGACACGTTAAAGGCTTAAAGCTACATGAGTATAAAATTGATCAATCCTTTCATCACTGTGCATGTGGGATTTGGGGATATAACTGGACAATGGACAGTTGGGCACGTATATATCACATATATATATCTCAAGGGCCGGCTGTTTTTTTTTTTGGAGTTGGGCATAAATGCATGCATGAAAAGAATAGTTAATTCAAACCTAAAATCGACGGAGAGGAGATGAATACTGAGCAGGGAAGCGCCGACGGCCACGAGGGTTGACGAACACAGGTCCGACGGCGACGGGGTCCAGCACTATGGTCTGCGAAGAGGACGAGTTGCTGCCTGGGCTGCTAGGTCGTGGCTCGTGGGTCGAGCGTGTGGTGGCGAGTCGACAACGGCGAGAACCTAGATTACCAGCTTGGTTTGTATCGCAGGAGTCCTCACGCAGGCAGAGGGGAGATGGGTTACGGACGAAGATTAATTTACCTTTGTTATTTTAGTATTTACTTAGGTAAATTGTAATTAGGGTTGCAGTGTCGATCTGTGTACGTTTAGGCTTTTGGCCTTTTGCAATTTTGATCCAAGCACTGCCAATTCCGGTATCGGATTACCGGGAATCCGACGGGTTGTTGGCTTGTCGATTCCGGTATACCGTTGCCCCTCTTTTGCAATTCGATAACCATTGTCGTCGGTTAACTGTTTAATCGGTAACCGCGGTTACCGGTACGGTTATCGGTTAAACCATTAACCGGCAGACCGAATCTCAGGCCTAATAGAAAGATCTAGATCTAGAAAACAAAAATAAGACATTTCCTTTCTCCGTTTTTTTTCTTCCGTGAGTTACGCCTGAGACAGAGAAGAGATATTTCCACTTGCGGCACACGACCGTGCGGAGGTATTTTGCGAGATTGAGATAAGTTGTGGATCGGAGGAAGGGACGTCGAGGTGGGTGACAAGAGAAGCCGTCGGAGCATATATGGGAGGTGGAGTGGCCGATGGTGGGGAGCTGACTATGTGTGATTGGTGTGGTTAGAGGGGGATGAGACCAGTAAACCTGGCGAGAAGCTAGATGCGAGCAACAGGGACAGCCAGGTAACACCAAGGGCAGAATTGAAACTCTAACTTGAATTCTCATTGATGGTAATTATGCTTTATATACAAGGTTGGATCAGTAGAGGACAAACAACTCTTAGCTGTTGTTTACAGACAGAAAACAGAGAATGCAGAGTTTGGAGGGAACAACAACTGGAGGAATGAAAGAGACGTTGGATCACAATGGCGACGTATCACAACTAACGGTCTCCATTGCACAAGACGGTGCTGTTGCACTTGAGGGTTCTGAAGCCTTGCACGAGACGACGTCGCTCCCACTGATGGGCTTACTAGCCGTTGCATTTGGGGGAGAAAATTTTGTATTTTCATCTGATACCCCCTCGCAAGCTGGTGGGCATAGATTGTGCACACCAAGCTTGGAGAGAAGATTGGAGAAGGTTGCTGGTGGGAGCGCCTTTGTGGAAAGGTCAGCCAGTTGGTGAAGAGTCGAGACATGTAGAAGTTTGATGATGCCATTCTGCAAATTTCCCCTGACAATGTGACAATTTAGCTCTATGTGCTTGGTGCGCTCGTGGAATGTTGGGTTCTCTGCGATGTGAATTGCTTATTGGTTGTCAATATGTGAATTGCTTATTGGTTGTCACAGTAGATGATTGCAGGGTGTGGATGATGGACATGAAAGTCCCTGAGGAGGAATAGTAGCCACAAGAGCTCACGGGCGGTATCAACCATTGCCCTATATTCAGCTTCGCAGGATGATCTGGATATGGTTCATTGCTTCTTGAATCTTGTATTACTTATGCATTCGAAATCTCGTAATAAATATAAATTAAGATGTTAGAATGACAAGTCTTAGGTTTGTAGTCAGTTGGTTGTACATGTTAACGAAAGCTTATGTGAGGAGCTAAGACCATCTCCAATCCTAAGACTAGAAAACCAATTAACCAAAAACTAGCACTACAGTGGCAAGACCAAAGGGCTAGAAAAAAAAAACATAAAGGATCAAATTTTGTCCACAAAACGCTAAGAAGGACCATAATTGGGGGTAGGGTTTTGCAATGAAGAGATGCACGCATGTCCGGGAAGGGGTGCACCCCCTGCCGCGTGTTTGGCGCACCACCGCCTCGTGCGACTACTCATCGGATGGAGCATTTTCTTACCCTTCAATCCCCAGACTTCAGCCCAACGTCTCTTTAGACTCCAACAACAAAAAAATTTCAAAATTTTCTATAGATAGACATCAATTCTACACTTATAGTTGCATCAACCTCCCCAATTTTCTCTCATCATCATAAACACTTTCTCTTCTTCTCATCAAACCAAAGAACTACTCTTTTTCACAAACTCTTGCTTTCAAGTGAAAAGCAAAATGACCCCAACAGACTTATAAGTTGTGAACCTCTTTGTCTCTATCAAACTCTCGACTAAGTTTTGTGCTTTTAGTTTGGTCTTTCTCTAACGGGGTTTAGTACGTTCATCATATAGTTGTTAGGGTTTCCCTCTTTGTTCACAATTAGTAGCAGATTCAGAATCGATGAACAAGTGTGTCGGTCAATAAAATAAGATTTTAAATGAAAATAATTCATGAAATTCACAACATGATACGATCCTGGAATCGATCGAATTCCATCCAGGATTAATCGTCAAAGAGGCCAAGTCGAATTGCAAAGAAAAAGCTGAAAATTGTCCAAGTCATTTTCCGTGTTCAAGCAGCCAACTTTGGAGGGACGTTTCTCTTAATTGGCTCAATGGAAATTCAAGTTTAATGACTTGTGTTGAACATGGAGTGATTATCTACACATTGGTATGCTTGGTTGCTCAAGAAAAAGTCATTAAGGTTGTTTTCCAAAGCCTCAAAGTTGCTACCTCAAAACTGGAAAACTGCCAGAAAATGGTTAAGTCTGGAAACTGTTTTGTGAAGCCTACTTTGGAGCTCAGTTCAAGGAGCATGGATCTGATTCGAGACCAAAGGCTTCTACAATATGAAACTAGGTATGTTTATATACCAAGGGAAGGAATTGGATGAAAGATTGAAGTTCCGGAAAGCCTTGAACAAAAGGCGCGAAGTTAGTACGAAAACTGCTTTTGGACTGTTTGCTGGCAGCTTACTTGCACTTGAAGAAAGAGAGTTTTAAATCCGAATTTTGAGTCCTTTTTAGAGTAGATTTTTACCTTAATTGTTTCCTACTTCTATTAGGTTTGTATTAGGTTTATTTGCCTTTAAATACCTTTCTACTTTCGTTGTAAAACTAAGACTTTGTTGAATAGAAAAGAAACCCTTTGGTTTTGTGCAAGTTGCGACTTGTTTTGGGTTTGGTGGATTCCAAACTTGCTGAGCTTGTGTATCGATTGAATAGTCACTTCAATCGTGGTTGAGCAACTACCCTTTTATACCAATCGAGCTATCCCCAGGTGTGGATTTGTCCTTTTGGTTCCGTTTTATCCAAGTTCGTATTAAG